AGACTCGCCACCGCAAAACCTATTATGAGCAACGACCTCGATTCGCACGTGCAGCGAATGGACGTTGACTCGGTGGTAAGGGCGGGCTGTTGATGTTTCGAAATCTGTTTAAAAGCGACTGCCCGGATTCCTAGCGCATATACCAAGAGGTGAGGGAGTTCTCGAGGATCTGCGCGAGGTTTTTATCCACGGCCGAAGCCGCACGACGACGAAAGCTCTCGTCGGCCACGAGTTGCAGGGCCAACTCACCTCGCCAGATGTCTTTGCGGAAAGCCAGGCCCGTCACTACCGCTCCAGCACGTGTCTCTTCGCGCGCAGGGTATGCTGGTGTGGCCAAGTGAGCGCGCTTTTGAGCATAGTTTCCAATGGAGGCGTTTGCGCACCTGATTTGGCACCCCAACTACGTGTCCACCACATCCCGCGTCAAGATGTCCATCTTCACCGCAAACCTGGTCCTCCGTCCTCGTGCCATCTACGTCTCTCCAAATGCCTCCCGGGACAGCTTGCGCGTCTGGCCGTCGGCAGTGGCTCCATTCGAGAATTGGTACCAAGAGTCCGTTCTCCTGCCCAGGGCGTGGCGCGGCATACACGGAGCCCTTTCAGTGCTACTGGGAGGCGAGAGTAGCACTCGTGGTGCTCCCGGCCATGCGTTGCGTCGGGGCGGATGGCCGGACGTCTGCACTGGCAACGATGCCGGACACGCACTTGCGCCGCAGCCTGCGCGGCCTGCGCACCCAAGTCGTCAGCTGTGCATGTTGTTAAGCCAAAGCGAACGTGCACTTTGGGAGCATCGCACCCTCCGAGCATGGGCTGTGCTGACGGCCGGCGGGAAGCATACGGCTGCCATCCAGGCGCTTGGAGGAAGAGGTTTCCAACTTCTTGCGTGCCGTCAGTTGAGACCCGGACAGTGGGCAACTGAGATAAGCGTAAGAAGACCTGAGGGCCACGATAAGCAGCGCGAAGGTGACGACCTTGCTTGCGAAGCATAAGCCTTGCTTCTCGCGCCACCGTCACCGGGAGCAGTCCGAGTAGCCGGTCAATGGGAGGTGAGAACAGAGGGAAGTGCAGAAAGCAGGATGTCCGAAAGGCTCAGCTGGCGTACTGCCGCCCAATGGTGAACATCAGATGCGCTCTCTGTTATCTATCTCCATGACACTGGGCTGCGCAACCCTCGGGTCTCAAGCAGTGGTATTTACATTGCGCATGAGCGGCACCGCCAGCTCTCCCAGCCAACGTCGCAATCCTGTTTACATGTAGTAGTGAGGTCCGTCGGACGAGCACCTGGTGAGGCGTGCTGCGAGGAAGAGAGGGACTTCGAGCAGCGAGCTGGACTCTCCTAGAGTGTCCGTCGATCACCAGTCTGCTCAAGTTCTGTGCCACCAGAGAGTGCAATCATTCGTAGTTGCGCCATACCGGGCTTATGTGTCACTGAACATTCAAGCTGCTGGCAATCGAAGGCGTGAGTTGACCCGGCATCTCTGTATTATTATTCGCAAGGACATCCTAAAATACAGTCCATAGATCCTTTATCCTACCGGATGGTGCACCGCATCCGAACGCGGACGCCGCGGGCGGGCTGCTCTGCTACAGAACCCGCACGCAGCGGGGCCAGCAGTGCCTGATCGAGTTTGATACAAAGACGACGGACAAGAAGACGACGGCGGTGCTCAGCTTTCTGAAAGAGCTGCCTGGCGAGGCCGACCCGTAGGCGGCCTTGCATATGATACTTATGGCTTACCAATGTGGAATGTAAACTGTAGCTGTATCATCGACGGTGATAGACCATGTACACCTTTTATGCTGGCCGGTTGTACCGAAGCCCGTCCTTGTTCGCGGCCACACAAGGCAAGTCCCGGAAAAGCAACAGACTATGGAAGCTCACAGAGGCGAGTGGATTGAAGGAGACAGTTAATGAGTCCAATGGACTTTTCGCGTGCACCCAGGGCTCATTTGACAACAGACGGCTGCAGTATGCTTCCAGCCCTAGTAATAATTACCGCGCGGCAGTGAAGTCGGAGAGCGAACCGGCTCCTCGGCACATGCTGCATAAGTTCGACTCCGTTCCGACTCCACACCATCATCGACTGGTCTGGGCAGTAATATGCCCGGGACTGACAACTACACCACATTCCACCGAATATGGGGTGTACTCACCGGCACCCACTGGTATCCAGTGAAGTCCAGTGCTAGTCTCCAGTGGCTGCCGCTGTTGGCTGGTGGGTATCAGTGAGTAACAGTGGGTAGCAGTGAGACACACCGGATCCCACTGGACTTCGCAGGTTGCCACCGGCTACTGGCACACATCACCAGCGATTTGCATCAAACATTGCTCAAAGCCACTGGCTTATCAAGTACCAATATAAATACAAATATTCTTTTGTAATAAGCTCAATACATGCTTAGCCACTGGCATCTGTATAGATGCCTATTCTCCTCTGAACTGTGCACTATCCCAGAACTCAGCTCTCACTGAAGTGTCTCTATGCAGTACACCGTCTGAGTGCAAAAGGTGTGTAAAATTGATTGCCAGATGTGTCCCCAAGTGGAAGCAGCTGTAAGTAATTCTTTGAGGCATATTATACTACACAGACCTGGTTAGAGGCTCCTGAGATTTTTTATAAACTTTCTATAAGTTCAGGAATGAGCTATCAGGCAGTGGGGGCAGGCTGCCAGCAGTCGCATTAATATTTCAACAGCTATGAACCTTGTTGTTGTGATTCTCAGGTAAATGTATATTTTCTGAGTGAGAATATGTGTAATATAAGCCATCTATGCACAAAGCATGAGACCAAACCTGCCAGTTACTAGTCTTAAAACAATTTGTTCAAGAGAG